GCCTGAGGTTGAGGAGGACATCTAACTAGCTCTCTCCGCCTGGGACCCAGATCTGGCAGGCGGGACCAGAGCCCAGATCGTGGCCCTGGAAGCCCGTCCTGCCAGGATCTGGTGGAGGAACCGGAGGGGCTGTGAACGCCTGGGACCCGCCAGCACTGTCCCTGCATCTGTGGTGGCTTCTGCAGGGGAGGAGGCCAGGTGCTCCTCGGGATGTTATGATGTCTGTAGTTTTCTGTCCCGGAAAACTGCTGATTTCTGCTGGCTTCTGAGCTCGGAATCAGTCAGATTGGTGGGATCGTGGCTCTTTACTGGAGGGACCCTGGGTGCTGTCCGCCCTCCTTCTCTATCTCACGGGGAAACGGAGGCCAGGAGAGGTGGTTGTGCTGGCGGGGCCCCTCTGCGAGCCCCCGTCCACCTGGTGGGGCTGCTGGAGAGCAAATGGGCAGCCATGGAGAGTGCTCCCGTCCCCGCCCTGCCGCTTAGCTCAGAAAATGGCTTGAAAGACCCTCCCCAACCTCTGGGTTCACAGAGCAGGTTTGTTCCAGGAAGGACAGGCTTCCTGACCTCGACACAGATCGGCCCGCAGTTCCAGGCAGCTTTTTCCTTCGAGGTTGAAGGATCATGTTGTCAACAGTAATTGTTATTAATATACGGCAACAAGAACCACTTTACTCTTTACCGAGCCCCCTGCGTGCAGGCAGGGACAGCGTCCCCACTCACTGATGAGAAGCTGAGCGACAGAAAGCCCCCCTGAGGCCCCACCTCCGCACGCATCTGGCGGTCCTGGCTGGGGTTCAGGAGCCCGGCCAAGGAGGTGGCCATCTCACGTCTAAGGGAAGTGGACCCCCGCCTGGCGGGGCAGGTGGCCAGGGGCCAGGACGCTGGGTCTCCAGGCTTCACTCCAGGACCCAGGACGAGGCAAACAGGGGGTCCTGGGGGCCCCCAGCCCTGCAGCCGACCCCGGGTCGCCCTGAGAGAGTGCTGATGCAGAGGCCTGGCCAGCGGGGCGCAGGCTGGCAGCAAGCAGCCAGGGCAGGGTGTACGTGCAGAGCGGTGACGCGAAGAAACGGTTTAATCAACATTTAGCAGGAGTCAGATCATGCAGAACCCGTGTCTCCTCAGCTTCTGCTGATGGTTCCTTCCTGATTGAGCTCCCTTGCTGCGAGGGGTGTGGCCAGCCCTCAGTCCTGCCCACCCCAGGGGCGGAGAAACCAGGGTTGGGGCTGCCTGTCACCCAACCCAAGGGCCACATGCCACAGGCCACCCAATCCCAAGAAGTTAGATGCCCAGTGATCGCCATGGGACCCCGAGCATTCGTTGTTCGGATGGGAGATGCCAACGTAAAGGAAGGGTGTGCTCTACGTGAGTGCCCCGGATGACTGTCTAGAACAGCAGCAAAGCCCTCGGCAGTGCACGTGAGGCGCATGCTGCGGGTGTGGCGGGAGGAGCTGCTGGTGGGCAGGTTCTGTGTCTCTGTGGGCGCAGACATTGCTGAAAACCCACCGAGATCTGTGGGTCTCGCCCATCAGACCTCAGGACCATGAGCATGACCCTGTCAGACTCGAAGCAGGAGGCCAGAGGCCCTGGGAGCGGGTGGGACTGCCGGCTTTGGCGCCGCCGACTTGGATGTAAAAGATGGAATCGGTCAGATTGGGGCAGGAGGGTGGGCGAGGGCTCTGGTCTGCCTTGTGCGGGGCCCACTGGCTCCCCATCCAGCCTGCAGCCCCGAGTCCGTGGGATCACGTGTGAGCCCTGGCTGGCGCAAACTCTGCCAGGGCACCTTGGAACAAGAAACCCCCCTGTGGATGGAAACAGGCGTGGACCAAGGCTGGGAGCAGGTTGGGTCTCTCAGGTCTCCTGCCAAAACCCAGCTCCCTGGGGCACTCCCTTCAGCATCCCCTGGGTGCTCTGCACCCCACCCATGGGCGAGCTGAGGAGACCAGCAGGGCGGGCTGAGCCCCGACTCTCCAGAGCACGCCGGGCCTCAGGCCCGGAAGCCACCCTTTACTCACATCAGGGACAACTGGCTTGGCTGCTCTCTGCCCTGGTCTCCATGGTGACCACAGCCGTCCTGAGGCTGTTTCCTGGGAGCCGCCCCCTGACACCTGGGCCAGGCTAGCACCAGGACAGGACTTTGTCCCTGGAAATGGCGTCCTTGCACCTGGCACCTGCCCTGGGCTGTTTGAGACCCCTGAGAAGGTGGGCTGCCCAGGTCATGTACCAGCACGGGCCTGGCGTGCCCTAAAGACGGCCATGTGTTCCTGGCATCATCACCAGAGGCAGCGCAGGTGGAGGGAAGGGGGCCAGGTGAGGGCGAGGCCATGATGTGGTCTTGGGGCCTGGGTGCCGTTATTCTCCCATGGTCCCTAGGAAACTGCTCCTCCCATGTCTCAACTCCCCGGGATGTGGCCTGAGGGTCCCGTGGGAGGGTGGAGGTTGGTAAGGGGGAGGGAGCGGAGGCCGGGTCCTGAGACCTCCACGTGGCAGAGAAGGGCACCTCCAATGTGCTGGCACTGAGTGAGCCTTGAGGGTTTGACGGGACAGAAGCCTCGTGACTTGTGGCTGTGACTGCTCAGCCCCACCCCTAGGACGTCCCCCACATGCGGGGAGTTTGTTTCTGTGACTTGCTGGCTCTAGACCCCGCTGGACGTCCAGTAACATTCTGGGAGTGAGTGAGTGAATAGATGTCCACAGAGGGGGCTCAGCCACAGGTCCACCTGGTGCGAGGCCTGGCCACAGCCACCAGCCGTGCCCTGGGGAAGGCGGCGCTGTGCAGTTTATCCGTATACCCCGTTTCCTCTTGCAGACCTGCCGTCTCTGGCCGAGGCCCCACCTGGCAGCCCAGCAGGTGCACCGCACACACAGCCACACGCAGGCTCCAAGAGCAGCGGAGACATCGCCCCTCGCCAGGGCCCGAGCACCACTGGTCAGCTCTTCTGGATTCAGAACGAGGGTCCAGCTCGCTCTGTCCTGGGAACCTCTCAAGGTGCCACCCCTCGCTCCCTAGGGGGTGTCGCTGTGCCAGACGGGAGCACAGCCCGCCCCCAGCAGGCCAGCCCCCGGGTTCAGATCCCAGAGGTGTCACCTGCACCAGCCTCCCCTGTCCAAGGCCTCTGCCCCCGCCCGCTGTCCATCTCCTCCTGTCTGCAGCAGCAAGGACAGAAGAAATGCCAAAGGTCAGCGAATTACCTTGCATGGTCACGTCCCCAGGGGCCCCCGGTACTCACCGTGCTCGCGATGAATTCTGGCGGGTTGTCATTCACGTCTGTCACCGCGATGATGGCTGTGGCTGTGTTCGAGAGGCCGTAGTTGAGGTTTCCCTCCATGTCTGTGGCCTGAACAATGACTGTGTACTGCTGAACTTTCTAGAAGGAACGAGGTGGGGAAGAGCAGGGCGTCAGTTGAGTTTTAGTTTACAGGCTGCTTATACTTTTCATCAAAGGAGCGTGCTCTTAGGTGGAGCTCGCAGCAGCTGGGCCTCAGGCCCGCAGGAGGCAGGCTGGTCACACGGCTCTCCCCAGACTCTCAGCGCAAGACCTGGTGGACGGATGTTCTCTGTGGGAAACGGTGCAGCACGAGAGCCGGCTGCCGCCATCTCAGTGGCTCTGGCTGTTATAAGTACAGATCATAATTGGTGCTAAGGCTGAGGGGGGCCACTGGGTACTGCACTGGGTTTGCAAAGCCAGGGACGGGCAGTTTGCAGAGAGAGCGCCGCTCCCAGACACGTGTCTGGAAGGAGTCGTGCCTGTAGCATGTTCAGTGTCCAGCTCGGCTGCAGGTTAGACGTGCAAACAAGAGACAAGCCCTCTCCGCCCTGTGCAGATGCGTCGGTACAAGCGCACTGTCTGAACGGAGCCAGAGGAGCGCCGAGCACCCAGGCGCACGCAGTGTGAGCTTCAACAGCCGGGCAAAACCCGACGGAAAGCGTGAATTCCATCAGGCACCTGGCCTTGTCCGCCTGGCGCTCGCCGAGGCCACTGGTGCGGACACCCCTGAGCAGCAGAAGCAGCCTTTTCTATGTCCCTATTCTGAGCTTCTGAGGTGACAGGCAAGGCTTGGTGGCAGCTCTCTGCGGGGACCGCAGCCCACATCTCACTGGCACCGTTAGGGGAGGAAGGATTCGGGGGCCCGAGGCAGAAAGGGACCTTAGCAAACGTCTTCCAAGTGATAAACTATCTCAAGTCCTACTCCTCCACGAGGTTAAGGAAAAAGGCTGGCTCCCAGCCATCCTACTCAGTGAAGTGGGCTCGGGCTCCAAAAACTGGTTCCATAAAGAACTAATTATGAAGAGCAGATGCTGACCAGACTGTCCCTCTCCATCCCTCCCTCCCTCCCCCTCTATCCATCCATCCACTTATCTTTCCACTCATCCACCCCCACGCCCCCACCCATCCATCCACTTACCTTTTTACTCATCAGTCCATCAACCCACCCATCCATCCACCATGCACCCATCCACTTATCTTTCCACTCAGTCATCCATCCACCCATCCATTCACCCACCATCTACCCACCATCCATCCATCCACCACCCACCCACCCATCCATCCATCCATCCATCCAACCACTTATCTTTCTTTTTTGTTTGCTTTGTTTTTTAATCCTCACCAGAGGATATTTTTGCATTGATTTTTTTTAGAGAAAGTAGAAGGGAGAGGGAGCGAGAAACATCAATGTGAGAGACATCAATTGGTTGCCTCCCGCACATGCCCTGACCAAGGCTGGGCATCGAGCCTGTAACCGAGGTATATGCCCTTGACCAGAATTCAAACCCAGGACCTTTCAGTCTATAAGCCAATGCTCTATCCACTGAGCAAAACTGGCTAGGGCAGGGGTGGGCAAACTTTTTGACTCGAGGGCCACAATGGGTTCTTAAACTGGACTCAGAAGGAGGAGCTGCGGCCGTGTTTCCCGATGTTGCCATGGTAACACTGCTGCTGGTGAAGGAGCGGAGGGGAGAGCAAGAGAACCCTCAGCTCTTTCGGCTCCGCGGGCCGTAGTTTGCCCACGGCTGGGCTAGGGCCATCCACTTATCTTTCTACTCATCCATCCACCATCCATCCATTATCCACTCACCTTCCTTCTGTCATTGTCTCCCTTCATCTCTCTGTCCCTTCCTCCCTTCCTCCCAGAAGCTAGTGACAGATGCATGGATGAGCCCAGCCAAGGCCAGAGTTTTCCGGATGAGCCCAGTCCAAACTGAGAATCTGGAATTGAGAGCTAAGTAAATAGAAACCAACGGACATTGTTTTGGTTGCTGAGCTTTGAGATGTTGTTACGCAGCAGTGCTCACTGGCTCACACCCATGTCCTTCCTGCGGCCCTGAGGCTGTGCGCCTGGCTGCTGACCGCCTCGCAGGCCTCATCTGAGTCAGGCTCCCCGCACCTCCCATCAGCCTCCCTCGGCTCCTTACGCTGACCCCGCCTGGCCTTCGCACGTGCTCCTCCCTCTGGAACTCTTATTCTCCCCTAGTCAATGCCAACTTTCCTTTCAGATCTTTGCTCAAACCCCCCTTTCTCAGGAATTCTGACGCTCCCAAGCAGGCCCCAGCATGGCGCGTGGCACAGTTCTGGCTTTACAGTTGTCATGCTGTCATTTGATCATTGTCTGTGACCCTCACCCAACTGAGCTCTGGAGGCCATGGCTGTCCTCTGACCACCGTGTCCCCAGGGTCAAGTGTGGTGCCCATCATATGGTAGGTGCCCAGTGAGCGTGCCCTGAATGTTCCCAAATGACTGTGATGACAGCAGATTCTGAGGAATGGAGTCCAGCCCACCGACCCCTGTGTCTGGGCACTGTGGACAGTTGGGAGGCACTGAGGGGGCTTTGAGATGAGTCACAGGTTCCATGTGTTCAATGGGCCAACCGTTGCTGATTTGTAGAAATAAAGTTTTATTAGTGCACAGCCCCATCCATTCATTTAGGCATTCCCTGCGGCTGTTTTTGCAATGACAACAGCTGAGCTGAGTGGCTGAGACAGAGGTCACATAGCCTGCAGAGCCAGGGAGAGCGTGCTGGGCGGGGTGCTAACGCTGGTCCCCACCCCCTCACAACCCAGGAGGCAGGTGCCAGGAAGCCGGGCCTCAGCACAAAGTCAGGCTCCTCCACTGGCCCAGCGAGGTGCTGGGTGCTTCAACCTCCAAAGGGGTTGCGACCCACAGGTTCAGAACCGCTGTTCTATATAGTAGACCCCCCATGGCCAGCCAGCCAGACGAGCCCCGGCCCTCGCTGGCCTCCATGTTCCAGTCTGAGACTCCACTGGTGGTCACACCAGCCACCGAGGCAGAGAGCAGGGCACGCTGATGTGATCTCATTGCCACCAGGAGCCGATGCCAGGCACTGTTCTCAGGACTCCGTTATGGCGCCAACGTGGCCCACACCGCTGTTAGGTCGGGTCAAATAACTGAATCAGTGCCCCTCCCCTGGGAACTGACCTTAGGCCACTTCACAGCAGACATTCCCTTTTGCTAAGACCACATTCCACTTGCTAAGACCATTATCTCTCCCCTCTGGACCTTCCTAGGACCCAGACCTGCCCAGAGAATTCTCTGCCCAGAAGAAGCCACCTGAGTCCTTTCAAACCTCTGCTTCCCCATCCCCCGGCCGTCTCTGGACACGGACACGGACACCTGTGTGCTGGTGCCATTTTGGGGCTCAACCCATCTGTCTCCAGATGACCTAATAAAGTATAATCCCTCACCGCTGTGGCCTCGTGCATTCTTCCTTCGCGACCCTGATAACAGCCAAACCCCTCTGGGCCCCTAGCATGCGTGTGCGGGTGGACAGCAGGCTGGAGCTGCCGTTGCTGTACAAATGCACACGCAGAAACCCACCAGGCCCCTGACGTCAGGGTGTGGCCCAGCCACTGTCCCTGCTCCTGGGCTGTTGTGCCTCAAGGTCCCAGCAGAAGGAATGCGCTCCATTTTCCTGTCCAGCAGAGGGCGCTGCTTGCCTGCTCAGGGCCCTGCCTCAGCCAGGACACTGCAGGGACAGACTGGGAACAGGGACTGACTAGTGGGGAGCCTGGCAGACCGAATGCGAACCCCAGTCTTACAGGCCTGTGGTGAGGGGCCCGGGTCCTGCCCAGGAGCCACCTCTCATCTGTATCTCGCCCACAGCTGTCAACGGCCCCACGGACGGGCCTCGGTGACTCCGGTGCCCTCCCCGAGGAAACGTGTGGAAGGAAATCAACTTCTCCGACAAAGCCGCAGGCGGCCTCCCTTCAGTTTCTCACCGAGTCTCTCTCGTGCTTTACAAACCTGCCCCCCTCCCTCCCAGGATGGGCGGGGAGACTCAGCTGCAAGGATGCAGCAGCTCCAGGGCAGGAGGCTGGGCAGGCCCTTCCGCACCAGACGCCACCTCTGAGGCTGCCTGTCACTGTCAGCAAGACAGCAAGGGCCTGCCCGGCGAGCGTGGCCCCTGGACCCCGGCCCGGCTGGGCCTGTCTGACCGCCTGGCGCGAGGGAAGGAGACCCAGGCTGG